CATTAGCACCTCTAGTAATATATTTACTGAGAAAAATGTTGACGTGTTCAATACTTATTTTACCTGCTGTAGCCACTACCTTTTCCAATTTTGATTTTCTTAAAAAAAAGGGTGAGGAGTAAATACAGCCTTAATTTGCATAGCAATAATACATTAAGAGTTTTGTCATTTGAATTAAAAAAAAAAGGTGGAGAATATGTTAAAGGTAAAAATATGAAGTGGGATTAATTAAAATGTATACTTCAGGGAGAAAAAGGCAGGGAGGAGGATAATATAAACATATTGTTCTGACTTATTTTAGTCAAAATAACAGTAATGAATTAAAAAGATTACTTGAGGAGGAAGGAGCAGACAGATTTAGGCAGTCTGTAGAAAATATGTTTAAAAAAATTTAACGGKTTCAGTTTAACGTTGCCAGATGTGCAGAGCGATCTGGTTACTGATTTCTGCTCAATCTGATTATTAATCTGCTGAAGTCGTCCACCATCAGAAGCTGAGGAGGCGGAGACAAACAGCTCTTAATGTCATATTAAACTGTTTGAACTTACAGTTTTAGAGTTTAGAGTTTAGGGTTTAAAGCAGTTATTCTTTCTGCAGCTTCAGCTTCCTGAGAGCAACGCGAGCAGCAGCAGAGAGAAACATAACGAAGGCAAAAACACAACAGAGTTCGGCGAGATTTCTCCTGCGTCGATTTGTGTTCCTTTAAAATCCTAAGCGCTCTGACAAACTGCAGCGGGGGGAAGGGCCTCAGCAGGATGTTAACTATTTAACAAAGCCAACAAACAAAAACGGTGTCGGCCTCAAAGAAAAGGCAGAAAATGAAGCTAAAAGAAGGAAACAGGAGGGGATGGCTACAGAAACAACTCCAAACTGTGAGAGTAAAACCAGAGAACAGGAAGTGATGCTGTTGGTCTGTACTGAAATCAACATTTCCTTGGATGAAAGTTGGACTATTTGCCGTGGCTCGCCTTACTCACCAGATGGCCTTGGTTTGTGGTCTGGGACCGCCGAGGCCCAGTCCATAAGGCAGCCGTCTCTCAAACCCGTGTTCCAATCCCCCCGTGTCAGGTCCACTTTTTAGTCTTCTGTCAGTGTTCGTTGTCAGAGTGTTGCTCTGCTGCCTCACCACCTGAATAATACAGGAAACATAAAGGGCAGCATGTCGGTGCTGGAGTCCTTCACTTCTTTTAATAAGAACAATAAAGTTCAGTTTAACACGGAGGGTCCAGCTGAAGGGTCTCAGCTACATCTGATAGCATCAAATATGAGAAAACCACCACTTGTTGGGCCTGCTGAGTCATGCTTTAAATGTTTGGAATATTTCATCTGCGTCTGCATAAACCTGAGCAAATACAGAAGAGACAAAATCATTTTATTTTCCAAAGACATGGAAATTTCATTTACATAAACTGTTAGATGTTTCCATAAGAATAGAAGTCCTGAAGAGAGCCTAAAGAGAACTCAAATTTTAAAAAAAAACATTAATATACTTATTAAAAAGGGGTGTCGTTTGTAAAGTTACAGTCAAAAATTACCACCAATATTTTTGTTTTATTTAGCCTTTTATGTGAAAAAAGAACAGATTTATTT